TCAATTTGACTTCACATTAGTTTATTTCTACTTAAACTCCACTTATGACAACATTTTACTTCCAAGCAGTGAGTTTATTTAACATTATAAGTAACAACCAATTTGACTTCACATTAGTTTATTTCTACTTAAACTCCACTTATGACAACGTTTTACTTCCAAGCAGTGAGTTTATTTAATATTATAAGTAACAACCAAGAGTTTGGAGATATAACTTTAATTTTTTCAGTAAGGATATTCTAAAAAAATTAATCTCATATTATCAATTTAGAACTATGAAGAATATACCTGTAAGAAAGTGAAAAAAAAAATCAAACAAGGAGGAATTTAAATCTAAAGGAAGTTAATCGTTTATGTAAAGAATACCAAAAAAAAAAACCCAAAAGCTACATTTGAGTACAGTACAACATATACTATTATAACAGATTGCTGTGTGTTTTCTGTCATTAATGTATTTTTTTCTTATCTAATATCATTTGCATATACAACACATTCTACTACTTGTAGTTCTTGAGTTTAAAATGTCTGCCTTCAGTGAATGTCCTATTTCTTTATGATTTGAATACATTTTTCTCATTTTTGTACATTGCCATTTTGCAGATTAGTGTAGCTTGAATTTCCAATACATTTCCTTAACGTTCCTATAAGGATGAATGATTATATTTCTATCCTGGCTTTTAGACTTGCTTGTAAGCAATTAAATATTTTAATTCACTTGGACGGCTCAAATAGCGAGGTAATAACGATGTAATTTAATTAAAAATCAGTTAACGGAGACGTATTTAAAAGTCTTATTTGTGATCATTTTCAAGACTTACTTTAGCCAAAAACAAATATATGTTCTGTTATTATTATTTTACACTCCATACTAACACTCAGTTTTCATCCTTATGGATTAAGTTATCAGCAGCTTCAGCTTTTAATGTTTTCCTTGCTTCTTCTATTTAGTTTCAGCTATTTTAAGTTACTTATTTTTTTGGAAAATTCAAACATTTGTAAGTTACACTAGTTTGTTATAGTTTACTCAACTGAAGTTTCCTGTAATTTTTCATAATTAGCATACAACTTCATCGAATTTTTACTAGTTCCGTGAAATAAATATAAATAAAAAAAATTATCAAACGTCTTCTGTTTTCTATGATATTTTTTTACCGGGTGGTGTTTTTGCTTTATTCTTATATTTTATATATATTCAAATACTTTACAAACACGAAACCATATAAAAGTATTTCCCTGAGTAATCACAAAAAATTACTGTTCAGAATGTTATATACACATGATAAAACATATTTACAAAAATTATCGACATACGAAATAAATATTCTATCACATGACATCAGCTTATTTACATCTCTCAGAATTAGGCTTATATCCTATAAATGTTAAAAGTAGAACATAGGAAAACAAATTTAGTTCTTTAGTGTAAGTTACTCATTACTCTCTGTGTAATCGCATTCTATTGTTTATGATAACGACAAGATAGTATAATGAGTTCGTACATAAGGAAATTCATAACTATGAGAAAAATCACGAGGATAGAATAGCGCGTGTAAAATAAGCCACTTTATCTAAAGGGACAGAATAGTTGTAAAGCCATTTACCTCCTTGTAATTTTTCAGTTGTTATTTCGTCACGCCACCAACCTTTCGGTAAATATATGTCTAGGCTGTTCTTTCCTTTTTCTAGAACAGGCGCTACAACAATTTCATTTCCAATGGAAAATTCTGTATTGCACATGTACGCATTTGGTTCTTTTGGTTCCATCCACCACAAAGGGCGTAACAATGGGGTTCCAATTTCTACATATTCTTTGATACATCGTTTTAGAAGAGGCAGTACTTTCTGTTCACGTATCTTATACATAACTTTGGCAACTTTAATCACCTCCAAGTCGTAATCTCCTGGAAGGAAAGAAAACTGTAAAATTGGCATGAATGCGGATAGCTGGATCCATCTTATGTACAACTCTCTTTCTGGTCTCGTGTTGTTTGCAGTTCTTAGTATATCACCCCCAACTGCACCAGGGTTAACGATGGCATATCCCAGCAACTCTAGTGTTAGCACTGTCGGTATAACTGACGCGATTCCTTTCGAAGAATCCCACGTAGATGTTCTAGGAGATATTTTCATAAACACATTGACGTTTTTGGTTTGAAAACCAACAGATGCTCCCGAAATCGGTCCGAACTCGTGTGCTAACTTCAGAAATTCTGTTACAAAATAATTTGGGTTAATAAGCTTTCTATGATGATTGTAAGACCGAGGCAAAGAAGACGAATAACCCCCAATAAAAATAAATCCATCGATTCCATATTTTTCTTTAAGTTCTTTTAGACGAGAAATATACCAATCCGCAGCTTTTTGATTTGAAATATCAATAGTTGCACACATTGAGCCTTTCCAACGAGACAGAAGTGGCACGTCCCATTTAGGGTCTGATATAAAATATGACCGTTTTACCCCTTTGCTGAAAACTGATGATTCAATACAAACATATGGATGAATGGCCAGCAGTATTCGAAATCCTTTGCTGTGCAACGTGTTAATAACGTCACTTGGATTTTCAGCAAAATTTGGATGAAATTCAAAATCACCCTTATGTTTTTCCCAATTATAGGGTAACACTATATATCCAGGTTCAAGCCCGTGTTCTGCAATATGACTAGCATAATTCAGTAGAGACTCGTTGGTCAAGATTGCAGTTAGTTTGGGTTCTGTTGACCACAATAGACTCTTATAAATGCTAACATTGGAAGTACTTTGGGTTTTCAAATGAAATTTTCTCATTACGTGTAAGTGAGTTAGAACGATGTTATCTTCCTTACAAATAGTATATAGGAAAAGTTTTGTTCTTGTCGAATCAGGAGGAATGCTGTCAAACTGTGCTTCTAAACACAATTTCTCATCACCGCTGCTATTTACACTAACGTAAAGCGGGATTTCTGGGTCAATACGGATTGCAACTCCTTTTGATGATAGCCAATATCTCTCAAGAACTGGTCCCAACTGATCTTGATATGCATCCCCTGTTATAAAAGGTTGTAATGGAAGTGATATATTGGAGAAAGGAAAAGACGTTTTATACATTTCACCCATTCCAAACCAATAAGCCCCAGACAAACTATAGCAGTCCTTCAAATAGGTGTTAGGTGCCAGACTTCTCCACTGTAAATTATAGCAGCTGAGATTTTCTTCGTGCCAGTAGTCAATGTGAAGTTGAGCTCTATATTTCCACTCTACACAAATGTTCTGTGCATTATCTGAATGTAACAAGTGACAATCCAATGGATGAAGATCTGAAGGGATTCCTAGGCCAAGGTTTCCTGCCAAGTGAATCTTGCTATCGTGGCCTAAGAGATGGAGAACTCTCTTAATCTTATGAAATCGAATATTTTTTTCAATAGCGAGTTCCATAAGGTCTTTCTGATAAGATAACACAGTATAAGTTACCAGTGCAACGATATTGCAAAATAGCATAAACAGCAGGACTCGAAAACGAAATTCGGAGGTTTGCCCCTGGTATAAAACATCGGACAATTTGTTTACCTGTAAATATCCAAGTAAACATTGTTTCAATTTGTTCCTTAGAAAGAAATCGATTACAAGATAGTAAGCAACGTAACAAAATTTGATTTTTTTTATTACTTATTATGTTATATTTTAAGATGCTTTTAGAAACCGTACTACCGATTTGAATATATATTTCAGGTGTTTATGGACTTAATATTTTGCTGTAAATTTTCGAGGAAGACTAAAGAGGCACATTCCTGCACACTGCGTGACTTTCTCTCATACGTACAAATGAATATTTATATATATATTTTTTTCTGATAAATTGTGCTTTTAATTCCTGCATGGTTTAAACTACACATATTTATAGATGCGTTCCTTCCCCCTCCCTATATATATCTAGAATGTTTATATTTCTAAATTCTTCAGCACACCTACAAATATATTACGTTCTAAAGTACTATGAATCTGTAGTAGACTAATGACATGCTTACGGTGCCCCTGTGGACATTGAACAGATAGCGTTTAGTGTAGCCTTGCTCGAAAAACAAAACAAAGTACTACTTTGTGTCCATCACGAATGCAAATGACATGCATAAACACAATTATTGTGAAATTTACCCATCAGGCAAAACAAGGATTATTTTTGGTGAAAAGGGAGTTCTTACTTCAAATTGTAATGCATTACTGAACTGATCGAATACCAACATTACTTCAAAGCAGTTGTCATACTAAATCACATAATCAGCCTGACTTCTTTTAGTAAAGTATGTTTGTTCATATATTGAATTATTAGTACCACTAGCGCATAGCCCGTCAAAAATGACGGGGCAAGTACTACCACCCC